CTCTCTCTCTCTCTCTCTCTCTCTCTCTCTCTCTCTCTCTCTCTCTCTCTCTCTCTCTCTCTCTCTCTCTGCTTATGTGTGTGTCAAAAGAGAGAGGGAACTCGAATAAACAATCCTTATTGTATGTTGATTATCGTAGGAAAGGAGACAGAGAGAGCAGATAATTTGGATATAGAAATCTTCCCGGTATTTAGAATATCAGAATAGAGAAATACATGAGTATTTTGTAATTTTTTTTATAAATGTTCAATTAATGATGATTTTTTCTTTCCTTTTCCATTCACAAATCACCAAAAATTTAAATGCCAATTTTCCATAACACATTAATTTATGTTCTCCACTCATTAATAGTTGTTAATGTCTTAAACCCTGTCTTAAACCCAGATTAGCCCATCACAGATTTCTGTGACAAACTCCAGGTTGCCAAACAAATGCTCCTTGGAATCTCCTTTTCTCACTTTAAGCAGTACCTGGTCACCCAGTAGTCTAAAGTAATTTTTCACTTCAAGCCATTGAAAGCTGGTCTGAGAGTGAAACTGCTGCCTTGAAAGAAATGCTACACCTGAAATGACAAAATACTGGTCTGGTTCATGCACTTCCAAGTTCCTCTACCTTTTTTCCTTTTTCCCTACGAAACCATACTATAATCTAATGGACTATGGAACACCGTAGTCCATTGGTGTCATCACCATTCAATGAACTGAGGGGCAGTCATGAAGCGACAGCATAAGACCCACCAGACAGGCTATGATCCAGTGGTGCATCCCACCCTCTCTCCATCTCCATCCATAATTTTGTCCTACAATGATGACCCAATGGGCTATGGTTTACCATAGTCCACAGAATTATAAAATGCTTCCTCACGTTCCCATTATTATCATGATGTTTCAATGCGTCTTTTGCTTTCAGTGCACCCTATCAGACAGCGATCATAGGAAATACAGTCAGAGTCACCAATTGCAAACCTGAAGAACTTCATGCAGGGTTTTGGCTTTGCTCCCAAAGACATGTTCTGCTGACTGATATCTCTATTATCTGCAAAATCATATTTGAGCAGTAAGGGATCATTTAGAGCGAAAAATCATCAACTTTAGGCAGTATTTTTCTTTTAACAGGTAGTCTTATCTTTTCTCAGACGTATAAAATCCGAACTATCCCTATGTTTAGGAGAATGAATCCTAAAAACCACATCTGATGACCAATGGTATTTCCAGATCCATTCTGCACATAGTAGTTCTTACACTTCATTTGCAAGTAGAGATGAATTTACCATATGTTCCTCAGTTCATTGTGCTACTGCCATCTGAGTCATAGTGCAATGTATAGCTTGGATTTATTCAAATGACATAAATATCCCTATAATTATATGTGCAAACAGACAAAGACGTACATATACATGTCCTATGGCCTCTATCTCCAGGTCCATACGCATGTATATTTCCTGTGTCCACTTCATTTGCAAGTAGAGATGATTCTACCGTATGTTCCTCAGTTCATTGTGCTACTGCCATCTGAGCAATAGTGTGATGTATAGCTTGGGTTTATTCAAATGACATAAATATCCCTATAATTATATGTGCAAACAGACATAAAGACGTACATATACATGTCCTATGACCTCTATCTCCAGGTCCATATGCATGTATATTTCCTGTGTCCAGCACCATTTTCAAGTTCCTCCAAAACAGTTACTTGAAAATGTGATAATCCATGGCTCTTGATCTTCTAGCCACTGTAGAGAAGTCCTACAGTCCACTAGATGAAGGAATAGTCCAGCATACTCAAGGTGAGAATGACATCTATGATCTGCCGCATAACTCTATGTAGATATGTCTAACTGGAAGCTCATTGCTCACTGATCATAGTGCCCCAAATGTAATAAACAGGATGCGTTAGTGGGGCCAATTTAATCAAGGTGATACGCTGCACAAAGGAGTGCATGTTGCCTTTGCACCTCGCTTAGCCTAACCGATCTCACTTCCCATAGCTTCCTCCTAAGGTTACAAATAAAAAAGGGATGCACTCAGGTAAGTTGATCGGAAGGTCCTCAACAATCACCCTCCCATATTCACCACTCCTACAACCATAAATTAGCTTTTGCCAAGGGAACTCTTCGTGGTTCTCGACAAATAACTAAATATACAACAATGGAAAAATAGGAACTTGTTGTTAAACTCAAAATTTAAAGTAATATTTCTAAGACAAAATAACCACATTGGCAGAAAAAACACATCCTTTCACAAAACATAAAACTATTAACACCCACGGATGTTATATTTTGTTTGTCAATAAGTACTAGCTATCTGCCCATCCGCTTCACATTAATAGTTTTTAAAAATAATAGTAACACTAACAATAATTACAAAAACAAATCATACACATAATGGAACATCAAAATAGAAGAAAGGACATAAGGCTCAAACTTAAAGACTCATAAAGCTACGTCAGCACTTTGTAATTTAGCTCATACGAGAAATATAAACACTACTTTTTGCTTAGAAGCAAAACATCAAAGAATATCCATGTTAACAAGTGATGACAACGAAGAATGAGATCTGATTAAGTTCAACTATAAAATCTTTATTTTTAATGAAATCATCTCATCTTTATTACAAAGAATTTTGATCCAAGACCACCAACAGAAGTCCAGACTAGGAGTAATCCATTAACTTTTATTTTACAGAATAACTTATTAGAGATCACAAGATAATAGCTTTAATTTTTAGCATGAAAGTTAGACTATGAGAAAGGAATCAAATGATAAAAGTTTCCAACATCACCAGGGTTTTCCCTTTCTAGCCCCAAACTACATCAAAATGATCTCTATGGCATTTTCTTTACTCCTAAAAGCTCCATCAAAAATGCAAATAAAAAGAAAGGGACAAGCATGAATGGTTGGTGTATCAAACATGCAAAGGGCCTTTACAACCTCTTCATCCAAAGAAATGCGAAGACTTTCTCTTCTGCCAAAAAGGATCAAATTCTTCCTTTGATAAAAAAGACCTTCAATTCAACCTAGAGGCTCAGGCCCCAGCCAAATCATTCAGCCACTGTCAACAAATCAATGCAAACTTTATAGCCTTGAGTCACAATCTTCTCCTAACTAAAGCATGTAGAATGCCTGTATTTGGAACTTCAGGTAATTGCACAAAAGTTTGTAAATTATAAGTAAACTAGAAAATACCAAATAAAATTTTTACCCAAACCATGTATACAACATCATCATCATCATCCGAGCCTTATCCCAAATATTTAAGGTCGGCTACACGAATCATGTTCCTTCGTTCTGATCAAAGGCCAGACCCTCATTCAGACCATAAGTCACCATATCTTCTCACTACTTCCATCCATGTCCTCATAAAAATATGAAGCTAAGTTTTATGCTAGCCGCCTACCTCACACCTCCTCTTGCATCTAGGTTTGGACCGGCGCCACCGGCTTGGGACCGGCCATAAATACATAAATACATATGCAGCGTATGCCTACAAATGTTTGTGGCACACATAAATTATTGCCAAGATAACATTCACATAACGGTTAACAGAATTTGGAAAACATCAAATTCAACAGTGAATTACACTAACAGAAACCAAACATTATGTGATCATAAGCACATGGAATACGAGAGAGAGAGAGAGAGAGAGAGAGAGAGAGAGAGAGAGGCGATGAATACATATACACAGTTATACCAGCAAACTTCAAGAGAAGCCCAATATCAATATGAACTCGAACACACCAAAACCATCATAACACAATTCCATCCACAAAGCATAAATATCAAATCTAACTCAATTAACAAAGCACGGGGAATTCAATATCCAAAAAACCATGATAATAGACAATTTTTAAATGAAAACACTGCATCTGCAAAAATATCAAGAGAATGCCTAATCGGATATGATCTTCAGGACTCCATATACATTGAATTTTGGTTGTCGAATAAAATACATCACATTCCATCCAACCAAACATTAAAACCCAACACATGAAATTCAAGAAAACCATTGTACACCTGATGAAATAAAGCAAAAAAAAAACAGAAATGTAAAAGGTTACAATCTTTGGCATGGCTCCATTAAAACCACACAACAATCACAGTTTTCAACGTCAATGACAGTAATTGAAACAACTTACTGAAGGGAGAGAAACAATTAGAGGATTACCAGAAGCTCCATGCCTGAATCGACAGTTGGAGCCAAAAGGGCAACCTTCTGGAGTGTTGTAACGCCTGCACTCCATGTCCCCATTGCTCCATTCATGGGTCTCAGAAACCCTAGGGTTTGTACCAGACCCAACATCCTCAGAGCGGGGCCTCTTGATCATGGGCTCCATATATTCTTATAAAAGAGACGCCAGGTGAGTCTAGTTCAGGAATTGAAGAGAGATGCTTTCTCTCTCTAAATATTCTCTCTCTAGAGATTAAGATTCTCTCTCTAAAGATCAAGATTCTCTCTCTAGGGTTTCTAGGGGAGAGTTTTTGCAGATTCTCTCTCTAAAGATCAAGATTCTCTTTCTAGGGTTTTTAGGGGAGAGGTTTTGCAGCTGCAGAGTTGGTAGTGTATAGAGAGAGGAGATATTTTGGAAATTTGTTTTATGCGGATTGGACGGCATTTCCACGAATGCTGTCCATAAAGCATCCATCGTAAAGATAGAAGGGTACGGTTTGTATAGAGCTTAGGCTCTAAACAATCAAATTAAAACCTACTTTCAAATAGCCTCGAAAATGTGTTATTAACATTGGTAACCTTTATGGGAGATTTAAAATGTATTTTTCATCTTTATTTAAAGTTTAAAGCTTTGAAAATATTGTGGATCGGCGCATCTATAAAAACTTAAAAATTTTGAAATTGATGGTAAAAAAATGCATTACAAAATACATTATTTTTAAAACTTGAAATCTATTTTTTTCTCATATCTATGCATCTTGATGTCGAGATAATCAATTTGAAGATATTTCGACATCCAAACAACCTCTTCTAGTAAATTTTTTTATCTAGGATCTAATTTGATTGTTTAGAGCCTCGGCTCTATATAAACTTTTTCCAAAGATGAATGCAAATCTGTGTTCCATCTAAAAACAATTGAAACTAAAATGTAGAACTAGGATGCACCTCAAAAATCCATCGAAAAAATATATTTTAAAGTTGAAAAACCCTCTAATTGATCATCTCGACATCGAGATGTATGATTATGAAAGAAAAAATAATTTTGAGTCCCATAAATAGTGTGTTTTACAACACATTATCTAGACCATCCATTTTTTAAACTTTCATATGTTTATAAATCTTCTTGATTTTAACTATTTTTGGAGTTTAAAATTTTATAATTAGATATAAAAATAGATTTTAATATAATCTTAATAATATTTTACGTCAAAATTATATGTTATGATCAAATTTGAATGTGCGCCTTAATTGGATTGTTTAAAGTTGCAACCTTATGGAAATCCATCTCAAAATAGATTTATTAAGAGGCCCACATTTCTACATATGTGGGCTTGGCCACATAGAAACAAGGTCCGATATTTTTTGTGTGGAATAAGGAAAAGGGGGCGATTTGTATAAGGCCGAGGCTCTAAACAATCAAAGTAAAGCAAACCATCAAATAGTGTTGAGAAATGTGGTTTCAATACTGAAAATCTTTGTGAAATATATTTTCATCTCTAATTATAAAATTTAAAGCTTAAAAAATAGTGTAGATCGAGTAGACCTATGAAAACTTGAAAATCTTGATAATTGACAATCCAAACATAAGTTACAAGATGCATTATTTTCAAAACTTGAGGTGGAGATGATCAATTTGACGATTTTTTGGCACTAAAACAACCTCTTCTAGTAAAATTTTTGAGGTGTGCTTTAATTTGACTAGCAAAATGTACGTGCACATGTTTTATAAAAAAAGAGAGAGTAACTAAAAATTTATGAAAACACGTAAAAAATCAATATTCTGCTTGGCCCAAAATGAGATGTATAGATGTATTTAGAATGTCTTTTAAAAGCCTTTTAGAAACTTTTTGTATTTTGAATTTGATGTTTCATTTTTTTTTTGGTAAATAAAAGTGGGTAAGTCAGTGGGGATTTGGTCCCTACCTTTTTATGAGAATGGAGTGAGAGACTTCATCGTGAACCTCAGCAATACTACAGCCCAGGCCCCAAACCATTCTCTAAAGTTGATGTTTTAAAAATTAAAAAGATCAGCCATTATTTCAGTATAAATCTCTCTCTCTCAAACTCACATCATTCATATTTCTGGTGACTATTTCTTGTTGAAATTAGGAATCTTGTAATTTCTTTTTGGTTTCTTATTTGAATGAATTATCTCCACTGTGCCGTCTACTCTGAGCTTACTCGAACTGAGAGCTGCTCAAGAATCATCAGGCACAATCCAGAGATCACTAACACCTCTATCCCCTGTACCTGGTGAAGCCCCAGTTGCTGGATAAGACGAGCTGTCCACTCTCAAAGCAGGGCTTAGCAAATTGAAATTGTTCACTGACATTGTCTCTGCTCGAAAAGCGAAGAAGACGTGTTGTGAGGATGAGGGCAACGACCCTAACAGATATTCTATAGGGAGCAACAATGCATACAGTTCGAGCATTAAGAAGTAATTCAGTTATGGGACATTGGCATCAACTAACTTTGTTGGTGGGTCTTATTACTCGGGAGTGAAGATAGATGGAGAGGATGAAGATTGAGTTTATTACAACAACCGCAAGTCGGATGTGTGCACTGTTCACCCGGAGGACCAACCATTAGCAAGCAAGCAATCGATATTGCAGTCTTCGAGGATGAGCATTCTCTCATGGAGGAACAGGAAGCTGAGTTTCAGATCACCAAGGACAAAAAGGGACCCACTATGAAAGAAAGCCCATGAGGAAGAGGGCGGCGACGATAGCGATTATGATCGGCGGCAGCTTAGTTCCTCAGATGAGTCTCTCAGACTAGGGGTATGCATGAAATTTGGTATCTACTATTCTATATTGTGTCTCTACTATATATCAAGGTCATTGAAGTTGACATATAGGGCCATTGTCTTCATATCTATTGACTGATAATTTTAATGTTGAAGTCAAGAATCTCAAGGGCCTCATTAAGTGCACATCCCACCATTTATATGCACATCACCCTAGGCATATGCATAGAAAACATGTGGGTGTCCTGTTATCCCTATAGGATACCATACAATTCCTCCTCTCTCTTTCCTACAGGCCCTTAATTAACACCCTGCGATTTCCTGATGAATGTTACTGTGTCTGGTATCCACTAATCTATCAACAGTAAAAATGAGTTGCTGATGGTATTTAAATGGTGCCAAATAAGACCTGAACAATAAAATCTATTTGCAGGCAAGAATAGTTGCGTTGGATGTGGGTGACAACGGCTGGAACCGCAGGAGAATAATCGTGAGATTCAACAGTATAGTAAGTTACTACTACTTGATTTGATTGAATGCGCCGAGATTACTTCAAATGATGTTGAATAAAAGGCACTTATTCTCGCTCGAGGTGCAACACTCACTATACATGTGATTTTCTCGAACCCCATCAAACCATATCTCTAACCTCATTATACAATATGAATTATCTTTCTCTATTTTACGCTCTTAAGTTTTCCCTCGAGTTTGTATCAGGCTGTTTACAAAATGATTATTTCCTTCTCTCAAATTCCATTAATGGATAAGATATGGTGTAGCTCATTTCAAGCACAGCAGATTTACGTTTTTCTGCAATTATTCTTTACATTTTTTTAGTTTGAAAGTAAGTTGTATTTTAGTCAAGGGTATGCTCTTTCGTGCATGCATATGGTTAAGGCGGAAGATGAAGCTGCTGTGAACCCGTCGTCAATCTCCGAGTTTGGAGATGACAATTTTGTAGTTGGGAGGTGGGAGGAGGAGGAGCTCATGAGCCAGGAGAGGCACATGAATCTCATGCCCATATATCGTCTTCGCGTCCATCAACTAAAGGAGCAGGCACGCCATGGGGAAAGCACATGCACCGCCTTCGTGATTGTGATTGCCGACTGGTTGCCAGCCAACCCCAACTCAATGCCCACAAAATCTCAATTCGACAACCTCACCAGAGAGGACTCTCGAGAGTGGCGAAACTTTTGCCAAATGAGGCCTACCGAGAATACTTCCCTGACAATATACATGTAACAAGATCAGTGCTGCTGCTTCATATTGTAAGGAGGGTGAGTTTCAGGTGTATGTGGCGAGTTAGAATGACCACTTATTCGTGCTCAAAGCCGAGCCTGAGGCCTACTAGATTATGGACATGCTTGGTGAGAGGCTCTTTGAGGGGTGCAACCAAGCCTATGTATTGAGGTTTGATAGGGATACAGTGATGTATAAGTTGCTTGAAAAGGAGGACTGTCGCACCCCAAGAA